CCGGATGAAGGAGTTGATGGAAGCCGGCAAGATTGGAGGGTTCGCAGTCGCATCTGATGGGGCATTAGTCTTCGAGTGTAGACTATGTGTTCCGAAGGTGTAGGAACTGCGAAGGGAGATTCTGAAGGAAGCCCATAGTGCCCCGTACACCATCCATCCTGGTAGCTCGAAGATGTATCAGGACCTCCGGAAATCGTTTTGATGGCGAGGTATGAAGAGGCAAGTAGCTCGTTTCGTGAGCGGTTGTTTGGTGTGTCAGCAAGTGAAGGCTGAACATCAGAAACCGAGAGGGCTGTTGCAGCCACTTGAGATTCCCATGTGGAAATGGGAGCGACTCACGATGGACTTCTTGGTGGGATTGCCAAGATCGAGGGCCGGTCACGACTCAATATGGGTGATCGTGGATCGACTCACAAAGTCCGCCCACTTTCTGCCCGTTCGGACGACTATGAAGGCTAGTGCGTATGCCGAGTTGTTCGTTGACGAGATCGTCAAACTTCATGGAGTGCCCGTGGAGATTGTGTCTGATCGTGACCCGAAGTTCACGAGCCAGTTCTGGAAGACTCTGCACCGAGCCATGGGGACGAGGTTGGCGTTTAGTACAGCTTTCCATCCCCAGACAGATGGTCAGTCGGAGCGAACAATCCAGTACTTGGAGAATATTTTGAGGGCTGTGGTCTTGGACCGGAGCCTAACATGGGAGACTGCCCTTCCGTTGGTCGAGTTGACTTACAACAACAGCTATCACTCCTCGATCATCATGGGTCCGAAGTTCATTCGTAGGACTTCGGAGGCTGTTGAAGAGATCCGGAAGCATATTCGGGCTGCCCAGGAGAGGCAGAAAGTCTATGCCGATCGGAAGAGGCAGGAGCATGTTTATGCCGTAGGTGACCATGTCTTTCTAAAGGTATCGCCCCTGAAGGGTGTGATTCGCTTCGGGCAGAAAGGGAAGCTTCGGCCTCGCTACATCGGACCATTTGAGATCCTTGCCCGAGTTGGTGACTTGGCTTATCGGCTTGCTTTACCACCGAGCTTGTCGGGAGTGCATGATGTGTTTCATGTCTCGATGTTGATGAGATATGTACACGATCCTGACCATGTGGTGGACTTCGGCGAGCTGCAGGTCGAGCGAGACCTTACCAATCAGGAGGTACCGGTTGCCGTACTGGACCAGAAGGTCCATCAACTGAGGAACCGGGCGGTGAGCTTAGTGAAGGTGCAGTGGAGCCGGCATGACGAGTCAGAGGCGACTTGGGAGAAGGAGGTCGAGATTAGGAGGAGATATCCGAACTTCTCGTTTTGAGTCCCTTGTATAGTTTCTCTTTTAGTGTTTGCTTTTATTTTCGAATTCCGAGGTCGGAATTCTTTGTAAGGTGGGTAGACTGTAGCGACCCGTTCGTTTGAGGATTATTTGAGATTTTAATTAATATTATTGTCATTATTATTATTATTAATATTATTATTATTATAACTATTTTTATTATTGTTATTATTATTTTATTTAAATGTCTAAATGTCTATTAAATGCTCAATGTGTATTATTATTTAATTAAATGCGTGAAATATATTTTATATAAATAGCCGATTATTATATTAATTTATCGTGCGAATCGAGCCATTTTTATTGGCTAAATTAAACCGCGAACTTTGAGCCCGAGAGAACCGTTTCTTTGAACCACAAATTCGGCCCAAAACCCGTCCGGCCCTACAAGCCAAAACCGGCCCAGCTATTATTTTTCCCTTGGTTTTTCACGTGAGGGTTTGGGGAATTTTATTAGACTTGGGTAGCAAGACATAGTTTAACCTAAGGAGAGTATATATATTTTCTTGTTCGGTTCTCTCCTCCCAGAACCAAATCCTGCAGCTTTTGTGACCCTTTTCTTCAATCTCTTTTCTTTCTCTCTCGCCTCTGTCGCTCCTCATCCCCTCGCCATCAGAAACTGATCATCACCTCTCATCTCCTCTCCTGTTCGTGAGCCATCGCCGTCCTTAGCCGTGCGGCGAACTTCCAGCGACCTGCAAGCACGTCGCGAACCAGGAGTCCCAGCAGCCCCGGCGATCTCCTTTGCCGCTGCAACACGCCATCGCGACGAACTTCCGGCGGACCTCTTTTTCTCGGCGAACTATTCTCCTCACGCTCGACCATCATCGTGAACCTATCTCGTCAACTCGTGAGCAGGACCTCCTCATCACGTCACCCCCCCTCTGTTCGATTTTTTTCCGGCGAGCCTGAATCCATCGCGAGCAACCCACGAGCTTCCGACGACAAGACCCCCTCCGTTCGTTCAGCACTTTGACGAGCAGCTTCCGACGACCTAACGGCAGCGACCCTTTGTCCTTCTCAGCCGCTGCGGCGCCTTTCTCTTCCGGCGAGACGCGAACCTCCGTCGAGCCCGTCAACCTTACGTTCGTCTGTTTTCGTTTGATTCCCGAGAACGGTACAAAGGCTCGATCCCGTCTCGTTTAAATCGATTATGTTATATATGAATAGGTGTGATTCGCGTGAAGTAAATATTGTGCGTTAATGTGTTCGTTATGATTTTATGTAATAAATATGATTTTATGTGTTATCGTATGTTCAGGACCTCTTCGATTTTCTAAAGAGTTGAACGAGACCTCGAAAGTCATGTAAGTCGGTGGATATTGGAACAATGTTGAGCCCTTGGTCTTATGAGAAGGCCTCGGACGAGAAATTACGTGTGTTCAATTTATCGTTAAATTGTCGAGCTTAATAGTCGCTGTTTTGGTGTTTGAATTTTTAAAAATAGCTCGCTGCTCGAAACGATTTAAAAATTTGAGGGTGATGATTTCTGTTCATTACAAGCCTTAGGTAAAAATTTCGTGATTTTTGGAAGCCTTTAGCTACTTTTAATAATTATTATGTAAACTGATCAGAATAGTTTTAAATGCATAATAAATTCAATCGTAAACCAAATGAGCTGACATTCGAATATGTGATGCCTCTATGACTTTTATATGTTGTGTTAAATTTTTAGACTTGATTTGATGTGGTTAATAATTTATTTATCGAATCTGCTGAAGCGTTGTTTTAATTTTTATAAATTGGTTATTTCGTCAAAAATTCTGAACATTTTCTGAGATGCCTATTTTATGTGTTGAATCATGTTTTTATAAGATGGGAATTTTTGGAGTCCATTTTGATTCGGTTTTGATTTAAATTTGATAAACTGCTGAATCTAGTATAAATTTTTAAAAATAGTAACAGTCAATATTTAGGGCTGAGATTTTTACACATTGGCTCTAGCATGCTGTATGTTGTTATGTTAAATTTTCAAGTCCTGATTCATTTAGTAGCTTCAGATATAAATTCATGTGCGTTTTTGCTGAATTCTTGTAGGAATTTTATAAATTTGTGTGCTTTGAGTTTGAAGCTGAAATTTGGTGGTCTTACCAATTACTGAGAGATGTATATTTGGTTAAAATTTCAAGGCATAAGTCGTAGGGCAGCCTGGTTATGAATTTCTTGTGATTAATAACTATAAATTTCTGAACTAAGATTTTGAAGTTAAATCTGTGATTTTCATGCTTTTAGTTTTTGTTGTGAGTTCGACTTGGTCTATCCTTAGATGGATTTATGTGATCTGGTATATGTGGTTTAGTCAAGTTAAGAGCTGAGTCTTAGTGTTCCAACTCCACTGGACTTCACGAACTACTTAGTCGAAACAAGTTCGACTAGGTCTGTTTTGTGTTTTTCGTTTAAGGTCAAGATAGATGTTGACTGTAGCATCTTGACTCAATGTAGGTAATTGAGGAGTCGAGCCTCGACCTACACCCATTGCTTGTCCAGTTTTCAACCAGGATATCCAGGTGGGTTATTCAAAATTTTCTATGCATATGTGTGACTTAAGTTGTGTTGAAAACTTGGTGTGATCTATGTATGAAAATGAACATGTAGCCTATCGGTGTGAGCTTGATGGCTGTCGATACGGTTGTCCCCGTATGATAAGATACGGTTACCCTGTGAAGTAAATCTCATAAAGACCTATGAGAAGGCCGTGTCATTGATGTGGCACGCACTCCCATGTTTCACTGATATGGCATGGCATAGCTTTGATGAGCATAGATGTACATGAGTGAGTCTTTGATGAGACTAGAGTCATTGATGTGGCTAGAGATGTGACATGATTTTATTGTTTATATTCATGCTGCGACCATACCATTATTATGTTATTCATGTGCCTAGTGTGAGTACGATAGTTAACTGTACTCACTCCCACCTGCTCTTCACGGATGCAGGTTAAGCAGTTGGCGGGTGACGAGACGAGATGACGAGTGGTGGTTATAATATTTATTATTGCTTTATTAATTTTGCTTTCGCTTAGTTCATGAACTCGTGTTGAAATTTGGATATTTTTGGTGATGTCATTTTGGAACATGGAATTATGAATTATCATTTATGAATTGGAACTTAATGAATGCTAGATTGGTTTATGGTTTATAATTCGTGCATGTTGTCTTTATTTGTTGTGTCAGGATTTTTGGATAAAAGCTTTTGGTAAATTACGTAGCGCCCACTGAGTTTTTAATTAAATTAATGTTTGCGAAAAATTTATTGTGATTTTTATTAAATAAATTCGATAAATCTTTCAAAATAAAGTGGGGCGTTACAGGCTATAAGGCATTTATCCCGACTATCTCATACTTTTAAACTTATGAATTTTGAGAGCCTCATAAAACCAACATCAAGAGTCCAACATCAACATAAGAATTAATATCTCATGAATTAAACTCAACTCAATATACAACAAGTCAATGAACCTTAAATAATAATTATATCCTTCAATCTAATTCATGAAGAATATGAAAAGGGTATAGCCTTATACCTTCTTCCGGAATCTACTAATCGGGATCAGAAAAGATCAAAAAATGAACGGCCTCGGACGTTCAAACTCGGTCTCGGCCTCGGCCTCGGCAAAGCTCGATAAAACCAACCTTCACGAACCGGGGCTGCTGCTACTCTTCTCTCGGTTGCGTCTCGAATGGCTTCCGCCGTTTCCAACGAACATAGGTCCTGCCCGGCTGCTGCTTGTGAGGTGCTGCAGCAGATGTTCGCTGGGAAATTATTGCTCGTTGAAAAGAATACGGTGTTGCTTGCCGATGAAGGAGTTGCTGCCCATCGCAAGAACTCGAACGACATGACAATGGCAGTGGTTCTTGAACGGGATCTGCAAATCAGAACAGGGCTCAACTTCTTCTATATGGACGAACAGAGTGCGATTTGCTGTTGCTCGATATGGGCGATCGCCAGCCGCTGCTGGTCGGAAAAAGAAACTGACGGGACGATAGCTCGCTGCTGCTCTTCGCATCACGTCTGGCCGTGACGAGGGCTACTTGATCGCCGCTGTGGGATTACCGACGAAGGGTGACGAGACCTCAGGCGCGTTGGACGAACCGATAGAGCCTGCTGCTTGCAGGAAGAAGTCGTGCGACGGTGGAAGATCGCCGGCGATGGCTGAGGAACTGCCCGACGCGAATAGAACACCTGGTGTGCGACTATGGTGGTTTCCCACTTCAACTTCTAACGACGGGTCGCTGTTGCTGCTTACTGTCACCGGTGGGGTCTGCTCGGATATTTGCTGGCGAAGGTTGTGTTGATATCGGATTCGAATTATGCTAATTAATGAAGATTAACGAGGATTATTCTGGCTAAGCACCGAAATTCCGAATTAAGAAGAGTCGTTTTCGGAGTCATCTCGGTATCAGGATGACACCTCGAGATGAGGAGTTCACCGAAGAGTCGGAGGAAGTGCGAGCTCGTGAAGAAACCGAAGTCTGAAAGAACCGACCTCATGCCGACAAAGCGCGACGCCTGTCAATTAATTAACAGGCTGCCCATGTCGTTATCATTGCCTACGCGCCTGCGCACGTCATAGCCGCCCCTATGATGTCAATCCGCATTAAATGCCACCTCATCTCCTCAAAAGACGTGCAGAATGTTACTATAAATAGCAGCATTTAATTCAATACGAGGACCGGATCCCAACACATTAATTTCGAGTATTAAGTTCCTCAGTTTTCTCTGAAACGGACCTCTTGTACTAAAAATCCGACTTGTTCTATATTATTACCGACTTCAATAAATTCAATAAAAATCCAACTTTCTGCAATTCTTGCTATTGTTTACACCTTAATTACGTTGGTTCAATCCGTTTATCAACATTTTGGCGCTAGAAGGAGGGCTCCATAAGATATTTGGAGTTAATTTTCGAAATTACGAAGCACCACATCTCAAACTCGAACTATAACATCAAAGTAAGAACATGTCTCAATCCGGCCAAGGTGATCAGACAACTCGGGGAAGCTCTAACCACGTCCCCGATCAATCTGCAGGCCGCAACAACGCAGTACCCACGATGTCGGATCTAACCACGCTCATGCAAAACCCGGAATTTGCCCGGGGATTTGTCGCCTTGCTGGCCCAAACCGTGCAGGGGCCTTCAAGAAGGATGCAGGGACAGTCTCTCGCCCAGGTAACTCTGGCGGGACAACGGGTCCCCCAAATGTAAGGGCACGACAACAACCAGGCCGCGTCACACGCGTCCTCGCAGTCGCGTGACAACAACCCTCAAGCTCCACCGGCAGACAACGTCGCCCCACCGGAGATGAACCTGCCGGAGATGAATAGACCAGAGATGACAGCAGAAAGTCACCCTGGACACGCTCAAAGAGTCCCACCCGCAGCTCGTCCGCTGTTTCAACAACCGGAGAACCTGTCCGACTTGCGACAGCAAATGAAAAGAAATCAGTGTGCAAGAAACGACACCTCCGAGGTGGAGATGTTACGAATAAAAGTTGAGGAGCTAGAAGCCTGACATACCACTCAAGTCAGGCTTCTTCTACACCCCCGTATGTCCGAGCCAGGCCATGTCTATTTACAAGTTGACTCTCCACTGGCACCCGAGTTGACTAGGGGGACATTCCCAGGAAAGGTCAAAGTTTCACAGATCGGGCTCTACGATGGAACTGCTGACCCCGACGCTTACCTCGGTCATTACACATCATGGATGGACTTACACGGTGCTGAGTCGATTCGATATTGGCATCAACTTAGGTCGGCTTTCAGGTCTCACTTCATTGGGGCCCAAGTGAGTTTTATCCCGAAAGAATCAATTACCAACATAGTCCAGAGGGAGGACGAAAGTTTGAAAGACTATGTTGCACGTTTCAATGAACGCGTGCAAAACATGGAGCCTTGTCACCCGGAGACACTCCTTGTCTCGGCAATATTGGGCTTAAAATCGAAGTCCATGTTTCGATGGGCGCTCTGTCAGAACAAACCCAGCACTTTCCAAGAGTTTCTCGACCGAGCTCAACAACATATCATCGCTGAGGAGTCCATGTCGGTTCCTGACCTTGAGTTCACGTCAACAAAAGGTCAGAAACCGACTCCTGAGAATAAGAAAAAGGAGAAGCACTTCAACAGCCCCTCCAAGAATCCGCAATTCAGGGAGCCGTTCAAAAGCGACCCCAACGACCCAGAAGTGAAGGCAGCCAGGAGGCAGTATAAGGAAGACCTAACCACGGGTTACCGATTGATTTACTCGGTATGTGCCGCAGCAGTCTACCAAGAGATCAAGGGGAAAGGTATTATCCCCGAAGCCCGACCTGTAAAGACCCCTGAAAGTCAGTTAGACAAATCTTGATACTGTGATTATCACAAATCGCCGGGTCACAACACTGACGTTGTGGGTAGTAACATTTAAAGGACACGTGGAGTGTCAGGATCAAGAAGAGATAAATGATCTAACGAAGGAGAGACAAAGGCGTATTAAGTAAGCTAGTAGCTTCATATAAATAGGTAAACCATGGGAGGTGGTAAGGTGAATCATTTTACAAACCCTAAATTCTATATACAACTTCCTTCTATCTTTGATCTCTTACTGACTTGAGCGTCGGAGGTTTACCGCCGGGAGCACCTCCCGGCATTTTTGCAGGTCTTGGAGCGGTCGAGGATTGGAGGGAGGCCGGTTCAAGTGCAGAAGCACATCAATTAAGGATGAGGTGGACCTGAGTATTGGAAACTACAGAGAGCTTTTTTGTGTTTCTCTTGATAACCCGGACCATATATTTGGAGATGTTTGTATGGATGGGATTTCCGGACCGAAAGACATGTTCGAGTCCCAGGGTGCTTATGAGGTATGAAAATTCGTATTATAAACTTATTGCATCTATATATGATTCTATTGCCATTTGATAGTGCATAGTATAGTTTCTCACCATGGTTTGAATATGTGAGTCTGGTAAATCTTAGTATAGCTATGTATGCATTATCACGTGAAATCTTCATCAAAAGTACATCCTTGTTGTATTATCGATTGGTGAGATAGTATTTCTTTGTAAGTGAGCCTATTGTTTACACGTCCTTCATAAGATCCTGCAAAATATAAGAGGATTAGAAAAACAACCTCGCCTCTATCATATTATTGCCCCTAAAGTTCCTGCTCCTCCTGTGCATGATATAGTAAAGTTATACTATTACCTAAGATCTTAATGGATGATGGATATCATGATGTTTACAATTCACCCTAGATATGTGCTCAAATTTAAAGAATTAAAATAATTCATATCCTTAAAGTATAATAATCAAGCTGCCGAGCGTGGTTATTTTGCTAATGCATTATATAATGTTTGGGCCATGAACACAAAGAGAATCAGACTACAACAGGGGAAAAGAAAATCTTCATGTTTGGACCAATCGGCCCTAGGTTGGCTGAAGACCGACTTGGAAAGAGAAGTAGGGAGCTCTGAAGACCGGCTGAAGTCCCGACTGCAACAGCCCGCTACTTAGGGCCAATTTTTCGCAAATTCTAACTTTCGAAAATGCTTATAAATTTTTCGAAATCGTTTGCAAACTATCTCGGGATGCTGCTAAAAACTCATTTGCTTTGAAAATCCATTTTCTTAACTTGGTCTATCAACTGGTTTAGACTTTAAGAAAATCAGATTTAAATCTTTTATCAACTCTTGCATTTAAACTGGTCCTGTTCGTACTGGCGAACTGGAGAAATTATTTAAGTCTGAAAGTATTGTCATGCAAGTTTGAAATAAAAGCAAGCATAGCGGAAAGTTTGAAAATGCGTGGTAATATTAGTTATACAAAACGATGATAACAAATGTCCCTGGAACGGCTCGCTGTGCCATCTCCATGACCACAACCACCACAGCTCAACTCACGCCTGCCCGTCGACCCTGCCATCTGAAAATATAAAGTGGGGGTGAGTACGGTCCACTTATACTCCATAAAAACCCATTCTAAAGTAAACAGCAATAATAATAATGATATCACAGAACCGGTATATATAAGTAAACTGAAACTCCCGGAACACTATCGCCGGTAACTCCCGGACTCTCTGGCTGGTAACCGTGTGCACACTCTGATGGTATAATTATGGCGAACTGGGCCACCACCAGAACTTAGGGAAGGAAAACTTGGCCTTAACCCCAAGCGAATAAAACTCATATACATACCTGAACATGATATCGACTATTATACTTAATGTATAAACCAGACTGGATCCCCACCTGATCTGCTTTGAAAATATGTAAGTGCGGCTGTGCTGGTAGCTGACTTCTCAAGCTACATCAAAATATAAGCAAACAAATATACTAAGTACTATGCTCGTCATATGCTCAATAATATGCTAAGATGCTCTACTCTATCAGATTACTCATCCGGATATAAAGGAACGCTCTATGGGTACACTAAAATAATTCTAAGTCCAGAAATTAGACTGATGCGCTTAATTGATCTGGTTTGGCTAAAAAAAATTACTTAAATTTTGGAATAAGACTCGAACCGAAAATCTCGAACCAAAACTGACTCGAACTGCCGGTTAAACCGGCCGGTTCGTTCACTAACTGAACCGGGTCGGACCGCCGATTCACTCTGGGCCGGGTGGTCACGGGCTGCTCGGACTGGCCGGGCTCGGTCCCGTGCCGGGCCTGCTGGGGCCATGGCACGGTGCTAGGCACGAGCTGGGTGCGACTGGGCCTCGCTACAAGGCGCTATTGGGCGTAGGCGGTGCGGCTGGCACGGGCCCTGGCACGATTGGTGCCACTAGGTGCTGCTGGCACGGCTAAGGGTGGCTGGGTGCTCTGGTGCGCTACTGGCGCGAGCACGGGCACGACTGGTGCCTCTCGGGTGCTACTGGGCACAGTCGGGGGTTACTAGAAGTGTTGGCGCACTGCTGGGCACGACCAAACACGAGGGACGCGGGGCTGACGCGTACCCGGGCTGACTAGGCACTGGGCGTGCGGCTGGCACGACCCGAGTGCGGCTGGTGCGAGGACTGACGCGGTGATGAAGATCGTGTGTTCCGATTGGGGACAGCGTTGCCGGGCGCTGTCGGAGGTGCTCTGGCGCGACTGCCGCTGAGACCTCGCTCAGTGGCACGGACAGGCGCTGTTGGGCGCTGTCGCGTGCGCTAGGGGCTGCGATGCCCCGCGAGCGTTAGGCGCGGGCACGGATAGAGGCACTGCCTGGCC